CCTAAACTTATTATTCCTACAATTTATTTGTCTGATTAACCTACAAGACTAACACTTGTTAGCAATAAATCATGGCATTTAGCTTTAAATGATAAACTACATCATCAAACATATAGAAATCCTGGCATCAATCTAACTACAAATTGAAATTTAATTGAAATAGTACCACACATATAATGTATAATATAATCATAGAAACAATCATTTAAGAAAAAATATTTAGAGGTAACAATGAATATTTAAACAGTATATTCTAAGCTTTGAGAAAACATATATCTGAAATATCACTTCATGATATGGCATCGGTGCAAGTGTTCTACTTTTGCTCTGGGTAGACTGACTAAGAGAAGTCCAGAAAGACACTGAAATCAGTGGATCCTATGATGAGTGAAGAAACTAGAGTGCCCCCAAATCACCAGAAAACAATGCTGACCATACATAACAGAAGATAAGTTGAAGAAATTCAACTCTAGACAACAAAACATGAGTGGAGGACAGGCTTCCAATGGAGTGCAAACCAAAGTGTGGATACATGCCCAGGGACGGAAAAGTTCCTTGCTATGAATTTATCTGAGGGAGATACAAGAAAGAGTTCTGTCGTGATCTGGACAGACCACAAGTGAGAAAGGCAAACCTCAGAAAGGCATGACTCACCCCATACACTTGCTCTAGGAGCAGGCAGCTTTGGGGACAGAGTACATGTAGTGGAGATGCACTGGGATACACTGGGGCTTCATTGAAAGTTCAGTCCCCAGAATGCATAGACAAGGGTCTAAAGCACAGAAAGGAAGGGCTAGCAGCTATAACACAGGCACCAGCTGTGCCCATGCCCACGACTTTCACCATCCCAGTAATTTCTCCCACCAACAGAAGACCAGGCTACAGAATAGTTTCCCTGACACCCAACACTATTTACTGGAAAATTGGAAGTTTGACATCCTTACTGTTTACAAAGCAAGTAATGGGGAGAGGGAAAAAATACATGAGTCCTTAGGGAGTATACCACACCACAGAGAGAGTAGTTGTCTTATGCTGAAAAATGTGCAATGTCCACATTTGGGTACTGGATCTTGAGGCCCTAGCAACAGGAGTTGTGCCTCGCTCAGACCTATGTCATTACTTCCACTGGCTCTACTCATGGCAGCGATGCTGCCATGTCTTCCAATCCCTCTTCTCATCTTAAGGACAGCTCTAGCAAAATTGTATGAGCAGATTGTATCTAATAAGAAAAATTGATACACAGGCTCCAGGCTTTACAGAAAGCTACCACCAAATGATGGGCACATGGACACAAAAGCAGCCTTGCATGACCTGCTGGCCAATCAGTCATCAGAATGCAGACTCCATTCAATCAGGACTTGCAGCTTCTTGCCTTTTCCCATAATTCTCTGGAATCATCTGGCACTTGCTATGCAATATTTTAAATATTCCCAGGAATGCTAAGCCTTTCCTGCCATCTTTATAAACATGTACTTTTTACTATGCACTTTTGCCCTTATTCCTGAATGCTATAACTTCTCTATCACTTTGAAAAAATTTATTTGTTCACTCGTTCAATTAATTGATCAATATAAATTTCTGAATTATAACGCTAGGCACTGTGCTAGAATTATATAGATTATATACAGTGGCTTAAAAAACGTGAAGACATCAGCATGGCTACTTTCTCAAAGAACTCACATCACATGTTAAAATCATGAAAAATAGAAACTTGCTGAAGGATATGGCAAGATGGCCACCTTTGAATGATTATCATACTCAAAATCAAATTAGATCTTATCATTGCTTTATATTGTTTTGTAGAATTATAATTTGTAGTTTTCTACAAAATACACATAAAAACAAATAGCATGAGGTACTGAAATTTATAGTAAATTGAAACAACAACTGAGGTTCAAATTATTTTAAAGGTTTTGTGTAAAGTTTAGAGAAATACAAGATGTTGGCCCCATTTTATATTAGGAAAAGCATGAAAAAATTAAAATAAAGATTCCATATACTCTTATCCAATACATTTTGAACTTAAGATTCTAGAGATTGTGTAAGTAGATCCCAGAATATTTTCATATTAAAATGAAAATCTTTTTCCTATAAAAATTCAATTTTGTATGTAATTAGTTCTAAGGCTTTTTTTTTTTTTATCACAATGAAGCTCTTCCTAAAAATCCTTTGAAGGCCTAAATGTGTGGAATTTGAGGAGCTTTTGAATAGGTCTCTCTTGTATCTTTTTTTGGCTAAAATAATTTAACTTATACTATCCCAAATTACAAAAATGTATGAATAACATCTCAAACTTGTAGGATATAAAATATTTACTTTTCACATTAAAAGGGAATACTATCTATATTCTTGATTGTTTTGCAATAAATATCTAATAACCATTATCTGAATACAACTATTTCCATGTAGTTGTGCATATTTAACCTCTGGATCCATATTTTATACAATTAAAGAGGAATTAAACATCCAAGTAACATTAGTGTTCTTAAAATTGCATGTGATTTGTGATTATATTTTTTAAATGTTTGTGGATTCATAATCAGATGCTGCTTTTTTACTAGTCAATATCAGACTCAGGTAAGAAAATCTTAGTTAAAATAACATGAAAGATTATTTTCACCAAAATTAAATACAGTATAAATTTTAAGACTCATATGAGACAGTATGAATGACCTACCTGACAGGATTGCTGGTTAAAGAAACCCTCAGAGATTCTAGGCAGTTAAGTAGTTTTTCATCTGAAATACCAGATCGTAATTCATGAACATATTCTTGTGAAGACAGGGTGCATTCATGTTTGCTGTTTTTCAGTCCTCCCTATTAAAAAAGAATAAAAAACCACTATTTAGACAAACAACAGTAATTTTAGGGAAAAATTTAAAGTAGTACATAAAATATATAAGCACTTTACGTATTAAAAATTTGTACAAAATATGTAAGAAGCACTTAAAAGTTCTTGGTCATGGAACTGACATGGTAAAATCAAGTGGTGTATCCCTCAACATGCTCCTCAATCTCATTTAAAAGAAAACTACACTGTTGTGCTTATGGCCAGAGTAGAATGTTGACTTAAGTTGCATAAAGTTATCACTGACAGGGATCCTTAAATTTATAATTCAGACATTATGATTAGCATTAACTAGTCCTTTTTATCCCACAGGATGAGATGAACTTTTAGAAAGCCTCTAATAGCTTTCCTCATTAAGATATTTTATACTATTCCAAAAAGAAAACCAAAACAAAAGCTAACATGAAACATTATATAAAACCCAAATCAACTGAAATATATCAGTGTGTCTACCTCAAATAAGGGAAAACAGTTATCAAATGCAAAATAAAATATACACTCTATAATATGTTTAACCTAATTAGTCTAAAGCATTCACCAGTTCCCAACTATTCCTTCCTAACTATGATGCTCTGTAGCTTAATCTTAAAAAAGTCATTAAATGCAATTATGTGCTATAGGCTTTTTTTTAGATTTATTTCCAGTAAGCATGAGGATATTTCTAGAACTCATTATCATCACAGCTCCATCACCCTTACCTCCCTCACCTCACTATAACTATCTAAGTAGTTTGGTGGAAAGGCTAAGAAGAAAACATCATCAACATATTTGTTAAACTAATGTCTCATAGTTCCACATTCTAGACAGTCAAAAAAATCATAACTACCACTTTCTATATTAAAAGTATATTCCCCTGGCCCTCCCTGGTGGTGCAGCGGGTTAAAGCACTGCACTGAGAAGCTAAAGCCACTTCCACATGAGTTCAATTCCCGCCTGCCCCGGAGGTGACCACATGGCGTGGCAGACCTCTCCTGACCCGCCCGCTGCTCCCCTCAGCAGTGTACTTCGTTGATCTGCCTGTTCTGCTCCCTACTCTGTCTCTGGTGAAGCCTCTCACCGCCCCGAGCCTCTGCCTCTGGCCTGTACCGCAGTTCTGTATGCATAAATAAATAAATCTTTAAAAAAAAAAAAGTATATTCCCCTGAATTAAAACTATTCAAGTCCCATTTTCAAAGTCCATATGAATTACATGAAGTTTCTGCTAAGTATCTAAATCAGAATAAAAAAACATTTTTTTCTGTTTGATAGAAGTCACATTGCTAGAGGATATAGAATTGTTTAAAAAAAAAGCAATGTGTTAATAATGAGAAATGATTCCTTTGGATTTCATATTATTTGGCTGTTTTATTTAGAATACTTCTCAATATAAAAGTGCTCAATTATTCTTAATGTCACAATTTTTTAAAAATTGCAATAAGTAGTGAATGTTTAAAGCCTGATCAAGTCTTATGTAGGGGCACTCTATTCCCTTATAGCACTGTGTCACTATTAATATTATAGCACCATTATAGGAAAAATCATTATCTGTGTCTTGCTTCTAGACTGGGAACTCCATGTATTCCAACCGTCTAACACAGTTCATAAATTTAGTGAGCCTCAACAAAAGTATGCTATTATTGAATCTGTCCATAACAATTATAGAACAAGGAATACAATTTCATAGTTTTAGCTTCCATATTTTGTGTAATGGCCCTGACTTGACTTATATAGTTCTGTGAGTTTATACAGTACATATCCAAGAATTCTACTGGAGGAGTCATCACACAGATGGCACAGTTTTTCCACATTTCTAGAACTTATTTATTCATTTTTTTTAAAATCACAAGAAATTCTAGCAAGTAAACAGTAGCATAAAATTTTGCCATTATATACTAACAAATTAATGTCTCTTTCATATGATCCTCAAAAAAAGGCCTTACTGCTACACCCCTGGAGACGTGTAGATAAAGCACGTTCCCATTGGATGATCTATTTATTTACCATTTTCTCTGCCTGAAAGACTCTTAGCTCTAACATCGCCATTGCTGGCTATCTTGTCTCAACAGTCTCCTCTCCTCATTCCAGCTACAACTACAGCACCATTTTGAAACTTATTTGTAGTATTTGCTCAATAGAAATTTAATTTGGTTAGCAATTTACTTGTTTACTTTGTCTTCCTCATTAAAATATAAGCTCTATGAAGCAAAATCTTATCTAACTTGTTCACAGATATATCACCAAATAGCAGCACATTGCTTGGCACACAGTAAGTACTCAATACATATTTCTTGTAAGGATGAATTCATGGTGAATAAAAAATTCCAACATGCTGAAACCACCAAACTCAATTCAGATTTGCTTCAAGTTATTACAATGTTAAACAGTTCTATATGTTATAGAATTAATATTATAAGTTTTATATATTATAGAGTTTAATGTTAAGTATAGATGCTAAGTATAGAACAGGTATACTGAGACAGTGTACAGCATATAGGGAATACCTGAATCTACTACTAGTTTTAAATCATGGCCCTATCACTTACTATCTACGTAATCTATGAGCAAATGCTTGAATTATCTCTATATACATGTTTGCATATCTATACATAGGGGTAATAAATATCTCTCCCTCATGCTTGTTATGAGAATTAAGCATATATAATGTGCATTTCAATAGTAGTCACTCAAAAATACAAAGTAAGCTGTATCTCATATGTGCATTTCCTGAGTGTCTCATAGCTATAGAATAAATAAGCTGCTCAAAAAAATTTCAATTCCCTTTTTCCATATGGTCAAAGCTGAGATATTCTTAAAGATTTATTTATTTGTGCAGACAGGACTGGGGTACAGGCCAGAGGCTCAGGGGCGGCGAGAGGCTTCACCAGAGAGAGTGGGGAACAGAACAAGCAGACTGACAAAGTACACTGCTGAGGGGAGCAGCAGGTGGGCCAGGAGAGGTCTGACACACCATGTGGTCACCTCCAGGGCAGGCAGGAATCGAACTCATGCGGAAGTGGCTTTAGCTTCTTAGTGCTGTGCTTTCACCCGCTGCACCACCAGGGAGGGCCAAAGCAGAGATATTCTTAATGGAAGAACTGGAACACTCATCACCTTGCAACTCACTCTACTCCCAATACTAACAGACAAATTTAAATTATGTAGTTTAGGATACACTGTGTTCATGATGAAAAACTATAAAACTCTGCAGTAAAATAAGTTTTATCAAGCTTTAAAGGATTTTATCAAGCTTTAGCACAAGTTCAAATTTGAAACTTTTGTGAACTTAATGTATTAAATACACATGCTGACTTTTTATGATTCACACCTTAAATTATATAATGTTATAATGCAATGTTACTTCAATAAAAATGTAATAAATTATAAAATCTAATAATATGTGAAGAATAGACATTAAAATCACCACTTGAAACACTTTTGCTATAGAAACAGACAATCAAGATGACTGTCAAATTCATATAATCAGTGTAGTTGTGAGTATAAAACTCAGGTATGGTCCTCAGGTTACTGCTTTTTCCACAAAATGTCACACTTCCTCAATACTGAATAAAAGATCAAAGCAACAAGTATTTAATTCTGAAATCAATATTAAAATATGGTGCAACATAATATTAAAGAAATCATCTCAAACCAAAACAGTATAATAGATTAATTTTCTCTATACTTAATAGGTAATACAAGAAAGACATATTATTAACATCTTTTCTGATACTGAACAAAGGAAACAAGTAGATAATGGATGGATAATAATGGAAATCTTAATTAGCTGCTCTGTATGAGATTAATGAAAATTACCACTGTGCCCATTTGATCTTTAAAAAGTAATGCAGACAATGTTAGTAATTAACATATATCATGCTATTCCAAAACGAGCTGAACAAAAAGATTTCCCAATTTGAAGCCATACCTTAATTTGAAAGTCATTAGGCATTAGGATGGAGATATTTGTCAGTGTGACTGTGTGTGTATTATTTTAAGATATTACAGAAGAAACAAAAAGAACTTTACATCAGTTTAATAATCATGTTTTCCCTGGTCTGATATGAAATGGGTTAGTATAAAAATCAAACAACTGCTACTCTACAAAGAACATTTTAAATTTCTAGTGGAAAGATCACTTCTGTTTCAGACTTACCTAGTCTGAGGATTACCTTATCATTTAATTTATGTACAGATTTACCTATAATATGATGAGTGACTCCATAATTGCAACTTGTACAGTTAACTTTCTGCATAACTAGGGAAGAGCTATTGATTGTACAAAGGACTTTTCAATTCCAGTGTGCAAATAAATAGTAGTTACTATCAATTGAGTCATCTTCCAAAAGAAGGACAATATTATTGTCATGAAAACAGTAATACATTACTGTTTCTGAGCTTGATTGTAAGCCTAAGTGTAGTTAGGTTTCTTTGATGATTCAAGTAAATTTCATATCTATCATTGCAGTTCTCTAAAAAAGCAACACATTTGGAATTATATCTATAAAGATTCATAGGTTGTTCTTTGAGAGGCTCAATATACTTTAAAAATTTAAGAAACCAGAAAGTCATTTTCCTTACAATCAGTTCTATAAGTTCTGATATAAAATAAGAAACAGAACACATGCTTGATCCAAGTCAATCTACCTGTTTATTGTAATGGCGATGTTTTTGGTTTAGGCTATACAATTCTAAATATATTGATAAATCTTTACATGACTTATCTCCAGTTCCACAAGAAAAAAGGTCTTGAAATGAGAGATTGTTATGGTTTAGTAATTCACTTATAGAAAACCTATAAAAGACATTTACAAATAAATGTATATTGTTATAACATTTCAAATAATTTCATATGCAATTTGCAGCACAATTTCTTTTAACTGCATGAAAAACAGCGTAAAATACTACTTATTATCAATTGTGGGTCTGTAAGAAATAAAAATCTAAACAGAAAGCTACCATCATGAAATAATTTCATATAATGTCGCTTCTC